TAAATAGTGATTTGATCCTATTAAATATACCAAAATCGTTTTCCTTAATAGATGGTGCGGAGACATATTTTTCTCAACATGTCCTCTCTGACGAGTGACGTTAAGGAACGTTAATATGTCTTATACGTCTCTAATCGGTCACTGGTATGGCCAGATTGATGTGCACTATCGTCGTCGAATAACAAATTAAGAGCGTAAATGTGTAAAGTTGTAATTGTATTGAGTAAAGATCAGATTCTAAAAGCGTGTGGTTTCTGTTGTTGCAGATGTGTTACTGAGGCTGGAAGGGCTGGCTGGGGCGCAGGCCAACTCGGCGTTAGGCTTTGCCATGTCAGACATGAGCCCTCTAGGCCACGTCGAGAACTTTGCGACTAACGAACAAGATCCCAGAGTATTGCTGAATTTGGTGAACGATGCTTCGCTGAGCATTGCCCAGCTTCTGAAAGACGGCGCAGGAAATGGAGGAGCAAACGTAACCTCATGTCCAGTCTGTAGGAAGAGAGTTCAAATATCGTACCTTGCACTTCACCTTAAACGTACTCACGATTCCATGGAAGCTACCTGTCTTCTTTGTGGTAAGAAGTTCAAGAACAAGCATAGCTTAGGTGTCCACATGGCACGATACCATCCCCGCCACTCCAACCACTCCCGATCCACTCACTACCATGACCATCACCGCGCTGGTCAACATCAGACTTCCTTCGGACCTGCCAACAGCTCCATGATGTTGATGAACAACATAGCTGGAGACCTCAACAATGCCATGTTCCCGCACGCTTCAGAACCATCGTGGTCACAGCCTTCGTCTGACTCAATCACTTTCAATAATGTTTTCAGTCCACCTACCATAGACATTATCGAAAATGATGACGATCCTCCAAACGAAGACTCTTCTCCTATGTGATGATCAAAGTTCTCACTTAAAAATTCTCGTGTCTCGTTCTTAGAAAAGAAGCCAAATATTTGCAACTTGTGTCTCCCGGCCTACACCAATAATATAATTGTGCGTTTTCTTGTCTCGGTGTTCATTATTTATCCTTTCTCGAAAATTCAATTCAATTTCTGCGAGTATCAAGACTATGAATCTATCGCCTTAAATTTCTCGTTACCTACCGAGTCACGCTAGAAATAAATGGGTTAAATTAAAAGTATAATATTGCCTGGGCCTTGCAGGTGTATATTTGCTGTACAATATATAAATGTTGATTTAAACGTGCGTTAATCTCGACAGTCATTATAGCACTTGGTGAAGAATCAGTAACCTATATTTTTTGTTACAGTTTGATTCAGTGTTAAGTTAAACTTTCCAGTTCTGGAAGTTGGATATATGCAGTAGAAGTATTAATATTGGATAATTTTAGCTTAGGACAGCGGCTGCTAACTGTATGACCGTAATGTCGCTCTCTTGAAACTCCCTTCCCTTCAGAGATCCAGTGCCTTTGGCGCGCTCTTAGAATAGAATAGAAGTGTCGGCGTTGAAGAAATCGGCCCATGGCCTGTTGCCGATTCCTGAACTTTTCGTGACTTGATTCACAAGGGATCCGGCCTTTGGAACCCGATCTTTCCATAACTAACGATTGATTGAGATAGCTGCTGGACTTATTGCCTGGTCCGTAATTTGCTAGGCATTTTAAGACTGAACATATGCTCCTGCATAGCTTCGTCAAGTCTGTTTTTGAAGATGTTCATACTCGGAGCGTCAACGATGCTATCAGGGAGGCTGTTCCACATGTCGGTGACTCGAAGCGAGAAGAAATGTTGTCGCATGGATGTGTTCCAACGCTGTTTTTTTAGTTTATAGCCGTGGCCCCTGGTGTTGGTTCTTGTTTCAAATTCTAGTAATCCTTCTAGGACCTTGTATAAGTCATGAGTATACTTGTATACTTCAATAAGGTCCCCACGCAGACGTCGATACCTGAGGCTTGGAAGCTTTATAATCTTTAATCTTTCCTCATAGGACTTGCCTTTCAAGCCCGGAACTATTCTTGTTGCGCGTCTTTGAACACTCTCTACTAAATTTCTGTTTTTTTCAAATTTCGGTGACCATACGACGTTTCCAAACTCTAGGTTCGGGCGCACGACAGCAACAAACAACTGCTTCATCGTTTCTGCATTTAGGAACTCGAAAGAGCGTCTGATCAGTCCAAGTCGTTTATTGGCTTTATTAACTTGACCTTCAATATGCTTAGAAAATTTCAACTCATTGTCGATATTAACTCCTAAATCCTTTTCCGTTGTCGACTCCGACATCATCACTCTGTCGTTGCAACCGTGTCTTCTCATACTATAATCTTGCTGTTCATTATTCTTGCCAAGGTGGATAACTTTACATTTGTCAGCGTTAAAACGCAGCTGCCACTTATCAGCCCAGTCAACCAGCCTGTCAAGATCACCTTGCAACTGTACTTTTTGCGAAGTATTCTTCACTGTATTATAAATTTTTGTGTCGTCAGCATACATCGAACAAACGCTAGACCCAGCTTCTGGCAGATCGTTTATAAATGCAACGAATAGAATAGGCCCGAGAACACTTCCTTGTGGCACGCCGCTACGCACTGAAGCCCAGTCTGATACGGACCCATTAATACTGACACGTTGTCGCCTCCCTACTAGAAAATCTCTGATCCATTTGAGTACATTACTCTCAATTCCCAAAGATTTCAATTTACGCTATTGAGCGTATGAATAAAAAGAATTCTTGTGTTATGCAAATTTTTATACATACTGTATGCTGAAAAATTGTAAGGTACAATCACGAAAATTAATGATTGAAAATTTGTAATATTCCTCCTATTTTATTTCAATAATACTAATCCCGTGCACGTGAATCTACACAATGGTTCATTGCGCTCTCTCAGGCACGGTGGTGTGACGGCCACCTTACACTCAAAGAAATGACCGAGGCTTTATTCAAATAGCGATGCAGCTTTTGCACCGCTAGGTGTCCGACAAAAGGACAACGTGCAGAATTAAAAGTGTCACTATTAGCACCACAAGACCCGCTCTTTATTTTGAGTGTACGTTTCATAGTAATTGCTCCATCCTCAACCTTTATTAAATCTCCTCCAAATCATCTTTCTATAGGCCATATTATCAGAACTTTAATTTTCTGTTTTTTTTTGTAAGAGAAGGCATTTATTCCTAAGATATTCTATTCTATTGCAATCAAAACGTCAAGAATAATCATCTGGAAGCTCCGACAAGCCGCAATTTTCAATATATTTTACGCTGAGCTCAATTAACAGTTTCCTATGTTGTATTACTGTGGTCGGCGCTCCGTATTGAAATAGGCAACCAGATTTTTTTTGTAGTTCAAAACTACAGCCTGGCCGGACATTCATTTCTTCCTCAGTCATATATTGGACCCTGTCAGTTGTCAGTCATAGGACCCTGTCATTTGTCAGTCATAGGATCCTGTCATTTGTCAGTCATAGGATCCTGTCATTTGTCAGTCATTACTGCAAAGTGTGTTACTTTAGAGACATCATTTAAAATTTTGTGGTAATGAGCCACAAAATACTTATAATTTGCCGACAATTCATCGCTGAGAATAATTGCCCAAGGTCACTCGAACATGATAAATAAGTTACCATTCAAATACATAACGTTTTCTAGTCCTTTGCATTGCGCGGAAGCAGCTGCTTTAGCTGTTTGCGTAACCCTCTTACTTATAGCATCAATTACAGTCTTAACGATCACTAAATTTGAAAGCCCAAATGAATGAAGTCAGGTTAATTTCACAGTCACCGTATCATCATCCATATTGAACTGTTAAGGGAAGTATCAGTATTATATGAATTTGCGTACAATAATCTTGCCTTGTGTTCTCCGACAGGTTACGAGACATACCCAGACGTGACATTTCTGGATGATGATCAACACGACGCCACCAGAACGACATCGTCCTTTTTATCACCGCCCCTTTACTACGACGGACTCGCCTCGTGCTCAGTGCCAACATCGTCGTCATCTATGAAGGAATCTCCGCAATTTGGGGACATGACATGGAGACGTGCGTCGTTACCACCGTCAGATGACGGCTACGTAACGTGTCCTCATTGTCACAAGCCCATAACCTCGTATAACCTCAATCGCCACATCAAGATGGTGCACATGACCATGGACCGCGCGCAATGTTCTCTCTGCCAAAAGATGTTCAAGAATAAATACTCCTTATCAACGCACATGCATCGGCAGCACCATGAATACATGACTCATCAAGGCAACTTCTCTTTGCAACATTATTTCAATGGTAAACGAGGGCTCAAGTTGCATAGATCTTTTGACAACAGTTCGAAATCTCTCTTCCCCAAAATAAATACCGGCCCTGAAGTTTCCCACACACCTGTCGCAATTGGAGGCGATGCCGTCCGAACACTCCACGAATCTGAGTCGTACACTGACAAATCTCCAGTAAATGGCCATGCACTCAAAGATGTCGTAGATTAATAAATTATCTTAGAATAAAAATGTCATATCGCTCATTTATGATATATCACCGCAAGACTTCCTCCAAGTTTGGTCTCTTTAGATAGTGTTCATCTGAATTCGGTTTCATGCGCCTGACATAAGTAGTGTAGTTCTCTTAAACTTCGATGCTTGCTTAACTGAAGTGTTTCCTCGCGATCCTTTCTTATAATAATTATTGAAAGCTTATAATCATGCTGCTGTTGGGCTAAACGGACAAATTCATGTATTCACATAGTGTAATGGGATATTGACTCAGCAAGGAAATACGCATTCAAGTGTTATTATTTCTCAACTATATAGAGATAACTATAGAAGGCGGAAAGCGGATTCATGTGAAAAACATTTAGATTTTTTGTAAATTATATTCAATATAGTGTCTGCAGTGCATACAGTCATGCAGGTACAATTCATGTCAATTATCAACCTTTGATTTCCATTCATGTCCTTATGCATTTTTTTCGATGTGAGCTGGAGTGGAGGAGGTACTAAATTCTTTATGAGTTCAGGATTGGTAAATAAAATGTACGAAATAATATATTGAAATTTGTATTTAAATAACTTAAAAAGTTACGTCGACATTTTACATAAATATACATTTTCTTTAGGAAGGTTTCGTAAGTTTTTCGTTTGATTAAGTTTTGCACGAGGAAAAAATACAAGTTTTTACATGATAGAAAAAGAACTCAAAAGATGGACAGATGGAGTAGAAGGACTTTTGTAGAAAATATCCCGAAGATAAACCTTGATAGGAAAGATGCCCACGATGGATCCCAAAATTCATGTTACGCATCTTTCGAAGGCGCACATTCATTTACATTAATTTAATTGTTTAATTTTTGTAGACCTTGAAGAATAATATCACAAGTGACGTTTTGCATGTCGCTGTAATCTTTTTTAATTATTTATGCGACAATGCGGAAAGCGGGAGCAGCGGCAGCAGCACCTGCAGCCCCTGGAGCACCCCCAGCAGCGCCGCCGGCGAGGATGTTGAGGTTGTTAAGCTCCTGAGTGAGAAGGGCGCGCCTGCGCTCCAGCTGGAACTGCTGCTGCTGGAGCTCGATCTGTTCCTCGAGGCCTGGGATTTCCAGGGCGTCGCGACCAAAAGCGTCCAAAACCTCGACTTCGCGGCCGAACTTGTCGGTGAATTCGATGGTTCCGTCAACGTCGACGAACTGCAAAAATAAGAGTGTCGTGTATAATTTCCAGCAGGCTTACGTTTCAAAGGTAACATGGTAATTTTTTTTCAAAATTGAATTATATCCAGATTCAAGTTAGAGTTTGTCCCTCAATTTCAATAAAAACGTGAACTGAGTTTCTCCTATCAAACGAAATCAAATTTTACTAATGATGGCCAATCATTCTCTAAAGAATTGTTCGATCTTGTCCTGGTCGCGCAAATGTAGAAGGGTGTTGAAATCATAAAATTTATTCTGCAGTTGTCCATTGTTTGAGTTCTCGTATTTGAAAGAGAATGCCATAGATCCTTGTACGAGTAAGGCCAGTATATATATTGTCTGGCAAAGAGAACGAAAAAAATCGTCTGCCTGTTGTTATAAAGAGCTTACAAAGTAGACTACGCGACGCTGAAGAACCGATATAGAAAAAGCACCGTCGCAACCCTTCTCAATATTCATCATATATGATTCTGAACACAAGATGGGATCCTTATACGCGGTCATTAAACAAAAGTTAATTAACCATAAACTATCTGCGCTATGGGTTACATACATGCATGTTTTTTTCATTAATGATTACAAATGGAATGATAAGAATAGACTTTCTAAAAAATCCTCAACATTTGAATTAAAGGTAACGAAATGTAAAATTTTGATGCAAAATTTATTGTGTCTAAATTTATATATTATTTCAATTCTCTCACATATCAACTTGGAAATAAACTTTCCTGGCTAGAGTTGATGTCTTAATGTCAATTCTGAAGCCATCAACTGCATTATATAGGAAATGAGTGAAGTTGTGTTGAAGAAACTGGCAATGTTCGTGAGTGAAAAGTCACTTGCTCGCCAAGTCGCATTTTTAGCGCATTTCTCATTTATGGAAAAAAATTCAGTCTCAATTTCCATCAGTATCAGCTGCCACTAATATGTTTGTATTACACCCACCTGTCACGAATACTTTTTATTCAGCTTATGTATTAATACTATGGCATAATAAACTTTATTATTCGCTTGTTAATAACGAAATTGGCGAGTTAATCTCTTAATCAATAGCTACACAGCTTCACGAAAGTTTTTTAGAAAATACGTAGGTTATTTTCATGACTTATACTCACCACGCGAACGTTGGGGTCGGAAGCAGCGACCTCACGGGCGCGGGCCACGAGTGCTGGGAGAGGGGCTCGGGCAGCGAAGTTACCAACACCGGGACCGAAGAAGGCGGGTCCGAAGTCGTTGACGGGGGCGGCGGGAGCGGCGGGTGCCGGGGCGGCGGGAGCGGCGCCCCCGGCCGGAGGGGCGGCACCCAAGGACTTGGCTGTGGCAGCTCCTGCTTCAGCAGGAGCGGCGGCTGCTCGGTTGTTCTGGACCTGAGCGCCGCGCACCAGCTGTGCGGACGCCAGCGAAGCGAAGAGGAGAACGCAAGCCTGCGTTCATGGGGATAATTAGGGAACGCAAATACACGCTAAATTCAATGTAAAATTTAGAGGACTGATTATACCATTAGAAACTGAAATCAATAGTTGGAAATCGTTCTTATGGACTTCTAAGTTATTGGTAGTTATTATTGTCTACAGTTTGTCTCAACTTAAGTACTGCCACTATAAAATGTCAGAATAAGCAAGACTGGTCACTTTTTGGACAATCTAGAATGCATGAATAAATCTAAAATTTCAAAATAACATTTATCCCGCTAGAGTAATATATTTCCCGCTGATGTTATTCATTGAAAAAACAATATGGCACCTGTCTCGAATAGAATCACCATAATTTCTCAATATCTCAACTGGATAACATATCATTCGAAGTATTTACATATTATTCTTCTGTATAAACGACTTCATTGTTCGAGCTGCCGCCGAATAGTTGACATAGATTCATATGCTAGTATTATAAACCGGTCACAGCCAACATTGTATAAATATTTTATTTCTCAATTAATCCTGTCATTCAAATCGAAATGAAAACTTGAGACTGAAGCCATTTTCGAAAAAATTTGGTCCCGTTCACAAGCTTGGTGGAATAATGTTCAAAATTTGTCTCGTTACTTTGATAAACATATCGGTGTGGATTTATACAGTGGACTCCCGTTAAGTTGCAAAGTTTGCAAGTTGCAGTTGTCGCGTTTGCAAGTTGCAAAGTTTAAAATCAATTACCAGCTACCAAGATGATACGATAACTGAAATATTTCTCCGCGAAAATCTTATATTATCATGAATATGTGGTTTCCCAAATATTCTCTATTCGATAAAACCAGCAGAACAAAAAAATTAGAAGCGTTTATTATGTATACAAACACGGCGTCCATCAATGAAAAATACGATAAACACAACATTTGCCTCTAAATTTTAGTTTATAAAGTCAAGCAGAAACTCAAACGCCTAAGTTTTGTACTAAAGTAAGCAACTATCTCAGCTCGGACGAGGAACTTACAATGGACTTCATGTTTGTACTGTTAGTGGATGACTGAGGTACATGGGATAGATCTGAGCTCCTTATATACCTGTAACCTTGTGATACCAGCGAGGCTGCTGCGGTTACTCCCACCCCTCAGTCTCTTCCTCTTCTTCCCCTCATCCTTATCCCCACCTCAACAGACGGGCGGTAACTTCCGCACATCGTGCACATGCAAAGAGTGCTCGCTCCTCACTAATCTGGGTTCAAATCTCAACTAGAAAATTGGTCAATATTTGCCCGTGTTCTTTTTCGTAAATTTATCACAAAAATTTGGCGACATCGAACAAAATGTTGTACGTTGACGACAGATTTCGCTCGCTCAGCAGATCAGCTCACCTCGACGAGCTCATTCCGATACTGACAACATTGTGCGCCAATCGATAATGTCTAGACTTTAATTGCAAAATGTTTTGTGAAAAGCAATGTTAGTGCTTGCGTCTTCAATTCTTACTGAAATTCTTATCTTCTTTAGTGAAGCGTCTTAAATTTCAAACTTGTAACCCCTAATCTCACATGGTGACGCCTTACACTCTAACAATTTTCTTGGAGGAAACCCTGATCTTCGTGAAGATTTATGTAGCAATGGACTATACATTTGATTCATGAGCATTACAAGTCCTAAGCACTAATGTTCCATGATTACGTTTCTTATAATTCACATTTTATGGGGAAAATCAATTTCTAATTAATGTTATAGTTTATGAGTTTCATCCGTTCTTATTTTTATACAAGGGGCTAATCTTATGCAGAAAAAGATCATTTTCACGCGTATCGCTGACTTGGCCTGCCCAGACAATAGATGAGTCGCTCAGAGGCTTATACATATGTCGTCACCCACCGGTACTTATTAAACTAAACTTGTTAAATTAAAAGGTACTTCTTATACATCAAGATTACAACCCTCTATTATTTTTCCTTTATTTTCATTCAATATATTCCATTGTGCATATATTGGAAACGAATGGAATTATATTTCAATGCTTCCATTACCAGCGGATTAAATTTCTCTGAATGTGCAGCATAAAAGCTAATTGATATTCCATATAAAGCCAGTGTCACGTGACACCGACGTGTGCCGAGTGTGCTCATCCATCGGCTTCCTCGCTATCGCTGATGCTCAGACCTCAATCACGTCAAGAGGTTGAAAAAATGTGAATATTTTTGAACACTCATTATGAAAAACTGCGCGGAAGTAGCGCAAACGCGCCCTGGCTCGCGTCAGTTCATGAAGTCGCCACTGGAGATCCGTCTGTTGTTCGGTCCGAACAAACGGTCCGTCTGTTGTTCAGTCCGAACAAACGGTCCGTCTGTTGTTCGGTCCGAACAAACGGTCCGTCTGTCCGTCTGTTGTTCGGTCCGAACAAACGGTCCGTCTGTTGTTCGGTCCGAACAAACGGTCCGTCTGTTGTTCGGTCCGAACAAACGGTCCGTCTGCTGTTCGGTAGTGAACGACGAGGGATGTAGGGATGTTTTCTTCGTGTACACATGAAGAAACTTGATCCAAAATTGATCCAATACATTCAGGAAACCCGTTGAATTAATCAGTTACTGTGTGATTCCTGGTTTCCTTTTACTTAATTTATTTTTGATGTAGGCGATACGGCATCAACTTACGCAGGTTTTCCTTTGTTGATTTCTCAGCATTGAAATCTTGCAAGACTATTTGTTGCTCAAGCAGCCAATATTTCATTACAATAGAATTTCGGACTAGACCGACGTTTTTAATCTCATGTCAAAACTTCCAATTTATTTGTCATCATACCAAGAAAGAGAAAAAAGTTAGTGATTCCTTCAGCATAAACTTTAATTGGTTTTCAAATAGTGTCTTACGTAACCATTCTGCACTCTGATCCCACGGCATCGCTACTGTAAGACAAATTTTTCTCCCACGACTTTTAAAATGAATTGAAAAGGAATATTCTACGTGTGTAGAATATTATCATGATAGAAGGTAACGTTTCTAAATTGTACCTCCATAATAAAATTTCTTACAATTACATTTCAAACTTCTATTAAAATATAATTGTTACTTTATATACTTCATTAAAATATATCATGTGATGATAACAAGATGTAATATTTTTATATTCACTAACATCACGTTATATTGGTTAGAATATGTCTTACGTAACCAGCCTACACGTCAGTCTTGTAAGGACTAATAATAAAAAATATTTATTCGTCTTAGCTTTATTAAAATTTTTTAGATAGCTGATTTTATGAATCGTTCAAACACAACACTTGGAATTTATCAGATTAGTTGAACCGATTTATACCGATGCTTAGCATATTGTTAATTTACTGATGGGAAATGAACAGTTGTTCGATTTGTTTGAATAAATTTTTATTGAATAACTATTTAATTTCTGTCTAAAATTTCTGCGTTTTGTTCTTTATGGAAAATTGTATGTTTGGTTTTCCCGTCTTGTCTAATCCTATTTAAATTTATGGGCATATTCATCATATAAGCACACAATTAAGAGACACCGTAATTTCTTTATATCTAATGTTAGATCTTGGAAAAACTTGTGTGCGGATGGCTTCTTGGACAGTTTTTGGCAAAAAATAAAGTAGCAATTAAGGCAACACGAAAAAAAATGATTAGATAGCATGACTCTCGCTTCAGAAGAGATAACACAAATGTTGCAGCGTGTAGTGTGTGTATAACGCTTCATTGCACGCTTATTGGAGCGGGACTTAATTGCGATAATCCGACTAGTATACTACGTCCAATCTTTTTCAGTTGCACTAGTATACTACGTCGCAATAATTGCAACTGATAAAGTTATTGGTCTTAAATTCAAATAAGTATTCTAATTTAAAACTTTGTTTGCTAGAGCGCCTCGCTATTGTAGTTTCAAGCTAACGGTTTTCGATAACACGTCAAGTGAAATAGCTTGGGATAGTTTCGAGTCAATTTCAAATGGACTACATCTTCCATCAATTTTGCTGTCAGAGGAACGACAGTTTCTTTTTTCTCAGATCAAAATTTTGAGTCTATAAATTACTGATTATTTTTTCGGTATTTATGGGCAACCATCGCAGAAGTTGTTGAAAAAAATCTTGGGCTGCTGGCTTCTCAATTAACTATTGCTAAGGCCTTTTTTATGTCTGAGTTCTATTTCCTTGGTTGCTTGGGATATTTAACAGTTAAACTTTAACATGACAATGAAAACTAATTAAACTGGTAAGTGTAAAACTTGTGTCTAACTTTTTTTTACCTCGTATTATTTATCTATAACTAGGGTGCACATGAATGATGAGTCTCTGTGCTGTAAGCATTATTGTGCACCTTCACTGTGAATTAGAAGTGTAAAAACTGCAATTTTGTAATCTTAAATCCTATTTTTACCGTAACTTCATTCACGATTTAATAGTTGAAACAAGTCGATTTTAGGTAATTACTTGATGCAAACGGTGATTTCAATTCAATGAATAAATAAAGCTAACATTGTTGAAATTGTTTGTGCCACCTAGAGCATGTCAAACTCGAACCATTTTACCCCGAGACTCAATAATTCAAGGTTACCTATTACAAAAAGGCATAACGTGAGCGCATTGTATTCTTTTTTGAATGCCGTGACATTTTCTTCGTCTCGACTCAGATTTTCTCGTCACGCTGAGCAGGCGCAACGGGAGCTGAACGACTAACGGAGACCGGCACGCCACGACTGCCTGGTGGCTGCACTTTATGCAGTTATTAATCAAACAATCACAACATTAACTTTGATAAACTTGTCGGGTAATTTAGATATGTCGTGTCTGAACCCTGAAGGATGATAAATATTTTGGTTTTTCATTTATAGCACCAGAAATATGTTGCTCCCATCAATTCGAAAATTTTGAGCGTGGAATCTGATTTGCATGACATGAGTATACTACGGAAAAGTGATAAGTTCATTTACGGAAAACGAATGGACATTTCTGCTATAATTATAGTTCTAAGGTATGGTTATTAGCTCTTCTTCAGTCACTACAGTATATTGAAGTATGAGCTATCCGAATTACAACGGCTGCGTACCGTAACTTTAATTCAATCTTCCTTTGCATTGACTCTCTCATCAGTCCTGAAACAAGACCTTCCCGCTGATATGGAAGTTTACATGTCAGCCCTATGCCCTGGAACAACAGTTAGTCAGGAAACGAAATACCCTAGAGAGCGAGGCCATGTCATGCTTCACTTGCCGACAGTTTTCAGAGCCCGATAAAAGCTTGGTCCGTTGAAGAATGTCAACAGACTTCCTTGTATCAACTAGTGAAATATGACACTATTCGAGAGCACGTAAGAGATGAATGGAGTTTAGGCAATATTCGCGTAGTTAAATAAATGTAAAAGATCCGAAAGAACATTGCCACAACGATCACATGTCATTTGTTTTTAGGCAATCTTGTGCAGTATAAGTATGTTATTGACTCTAAAGAATATTATCATATCAAATTAATTGCATAGTAAAAATGCGAACCTATAGAGACAAACTAGCCCATGTAGTGTGGCACTCGCCTTTGGCTGACTGAGTATCAGGCCACAGCGAATGAAAGTCACGTAGCTCGGGAGCTCATCTGAGTTGTATGCAAGAAAATATCTAGGGTCATCTAAAGATAATATTCAGCTAATCAGCAGCCTCTAGTTCTTCCGCAACGCCATGCCGGAAGTTCATCCCTCGCTCAGCCGTCGTGTCCTTGGATCAATTTTGCGCAATGGAATCTCATTCGAGGATACCACATGCAGACTTGAGATGAAATTCAGACGAGGGTGTAGCCTCTTTCTCGCAGTAACTTGCTAGTTTCACTCAAAAATATCTACTCACACTTATTGGTATAACAAAAATTGAAACACTCAAATTTTACTTGAACAGAGTGGAGTTCGACTGTGAAATATGCCTCAGTAATGATACATACAAATCAAATATCAAATTTGCAACTTTGAAACTGCAACTCTGAAAATCTAAATACTGTAGTTTCTTCAGATTCAGGGGGCTTAATTATCATTTAGAAGGATAAATTCATGTCAGCAATGTTGATCTGTTAATAAATCTGGTACTCG